TTTTCCAAAATTCCCTTAATCCTTCGTGTTTGAGTTTAAAACCTTTTAGATATTTGAAAATGTTTATGGGATGGTTTTAAACATATTTTGTGAGTGCTTTTGAGCTTGTGAATATAGGTATATAAGATCCTATCCTTACATTGGTTTCAACCTATATTCTACGCTAGTTTGGTGTTTTGACTTCATTCTTGAGTACCGAATCTTAATGGATTTTTGTTGTACTTGAAACACTTAAACAAACGTCAAGCTCTTATATTGTTTGTTAACATCAAAACATGAGGCTTAGCAAACCAAGGCTAACACAATTAACCTTGATGACTACCGGAAAATTTCTTCTTTCTCCACCGCAAAAGAAATGTGGGATAAGCTTGAAGTGACATACGAAGGTACGCCTCAAGTCCGTGAAGCTAAAATTGATTTTCTAACCCATAAATATGAGTTTTTTAAAATGAAGGAAATTGAAAGCGTTGATCAAATGTTTGACCGATTTTTAAAGATCATCAACGATCTCCATGTCCTTGGTAAAACATACTCGAACAAAGATCTTGTTCGAAAAACCACAGTTATGAATTTTCCCAAGTTATCTTTGCCATTGTTATGAATAAAACATTTGCAACCAAAGACTCGAAGATGGGAAAGGTTTGGCTTTCTCCCTTTGTATAATTCATAAGGCGTTTTCATGAGTATCGGTCGAATGACGGCTCGGTTTAACACGTAGCTCGCGGTACTAATGGCATCCGCCCAAAAATACTTAGGGATTTTTGCCTCATTGATCATAGTTCTAGCCATCTCTTCGAGACATCTATTTTTGCGTTCCACCACTCCATTTTGTTGTGGTGTACGTGGGGCTGAGAAGTTATGATCAATGCCAAGTTCGTCACACAAATATGAAAATAGATTTCGTTCGAACTCTCCCACATGGTCGCTTCTTATGGCTACTATGGTTGTGTCTTTTTCATTTTGAACTTTCTTTAGAAAATTTTTGAAAACATGAAATGCCTCACTTTTGTGAGTTAGAAACAAGGTCCATGTAAACCTAGAGTAGTCATTGACAATCACAAACGCAAAGTATTTACCACCAAAACTCTTCATTCTAGAAGGACCAAAGAGATCCATGTGCAAAAGTTGAAGCGGTCTAGACGTTGAAACAACGTTTTTAGACTTAAACGAAGTCCGAACTTGCTTCACCTTTTGACATACATCAGAAATGGTGTCTTTTTCAAACTTGAGTTTTGGAATGCCAATTACTAAGTCTTGTGAAACCAATTTCTTCAAGAGGTTCATGTTCATATGAGCTACCCTTCGGTGCCATAACCAAGTGTCTTCCTCTTTAGTCATGAGGCACTTAGCAAAGCCGGAAGGAGATTTGTCTAAGTTAACCATATAAATATTATCGATTCTATCACTACGTAGAATGACCTTATTGTCACTAAGGCGTTCTACCGTCCATGATTTTGAGTCGAAGGTCACACGATTTTCCTTGTCACATAATTGACTTATGCTCAAGAGATTGTGTTTAAGACCTTTAACAAGCAAGACATTATCTATAGAGGAGTTTTCAGATTTACCTACCGAACCAATGCCGATAATCTTTCCCTTGCTATTGTCTCCAAAAATTACGTTTCCTCCTTTAGCGGGTTTAATTTGGAGAAACTTGGATGCATCCCCGGTCATGTGCTTGGAGCATCCGCTATCAAGGTACCAAAGTACACTTGATGCCTTCAAGCACACCTATGAAACACATCAATGAGTTTTAGGTACCCAATTTATGTTGGGTCCTCATGTCTTAGGTGTGTGATGGTAGTATGCTTGATTTTGTGATAGGTGCTTATGCCTAGTATAACAAACGAGAGCAATATGACCTATCCTATTACAATAATGACAAACTAAGTTGGGATTGTACATGTGCCTAGGTTCGTAATAGTTAGAGGGTTTAACCATTTTGTTCCTATTTTGTGAAAAAGATGGTCTTTGAAAGTTTTGAAATTGACCTCTTCTAGGTGCTCTAACATTATTTATTCTATCTTGAGAAAATTCGGTTTTATGCACAAAATCATTTTTCTTAGGTTGTCTACCATGAACATTTTCATTCCTAGGTTTTAGCCTCGGTTGTCTAGTGTCCTTAGGTTGACTAGGTTTTCTATTATCCTAGTTTTTAATGCTTCCGTTGTACTCCACTATTTCCCAATTTAATAAATAAAATTATCTTTTATCTTTTTGTTAATGTCAAAAGGGGGAAGAAAAGGGCTATGCATATACTAAGGGGGAACGTCTCTAAAAACGAGACCGTTTGATTTTTAAATCCGACTACTTGCTTTTAAGCACAAATTAAGGGGGAACCTTTTCACAACTTTTTGAAAATCAAATATCCCTTAGTATGCATATCCCCGTCTTGTTTGCCATTATCAAAAAGGGGGAAATTGTTGGAACACGGGTTTACGCCTACGTCGTACTAAACCGTGTTCGTTTTATGACAGGTTTTGATAATGCCAAACCGTCGTGACAACAAACACTAAATTGAGCAAATCAAAGGCGAAGGAACATGGCATGATGATTTGAGAATCAAGAACCAAGAACCAAGAACGAAGACTTAGAATTGTATTGAGTCGGTCTTATTGTGATCAAGATCGGCACAAACTTTCAATACTTGGCTCTCTAGGCTCATTTCATCAAAATACTTTTTTGCATATTCAAAAATGTTTTTCTTAAGTTTTAAACATGCCTAAAAACACTTGGAGTTCGCCCAAACCAAAAACCAAGCCATCCGGCGTTCGGGTTTCGTAAACCGGCATTCGGCTTTCGGTTATCGGCGTTGGTTTTTGGCGTCCGAACCAACCAAGTGGTATTCAAATTTTAATGATTTTTTTTACTTCTGGGAATATTTAAATAGTTCTCCAACAAAAAAATGTTAAAAACCACCTTTCGTTTTTGGTCTTTTGGTGAAAACCATGTGAAAGGGCATAAACTTGGCTAGCCGTGGTTTTTACTTTAATGAAGTGGTTTTCAAGTTTTTATACCTGTTTTCTACATAAAATACATTATATAAGAGTTTCCAACACTTGGTTTTCATTTTGGAGAACTTTAGTTTTTGACATTGGTTTTCAGTGTTGGCAGCCAAACCATGGTTCTGGCGACCAGGCCCAACATAGATGTTGGATTTTGAACATAGATGTCTGAATAGAGATGTTGGGATTTGGACATCGATGTCTGAACAGCGATGTTGGGATTTGAACATCTATGTTTTGGCCAGGTTAGCTCACGTCAGTTTGGGGCAGTAGGTTTTTGAACAGCGATGTTCATTGTTGAACAACGATGTTTTCAAATGACCGTTGGGCTATTTAAGACAAAATCTTTCCATTTTTTAAAGTCAAACACCCCAACATCGATGTAGACTTCTGGACATCGATGTTTTGATGACCGTTAGCCATTTTTAAAGGAAAGTCAAAGCCAAAACAGCGATGTTCACTTTATGAACAACGATGTTAGGCTAAAATTCTGTAGACCAACTTTGATTTGATTTCCACAAATCATGCCATTAAACCCCAATAAACTCCCATCCGTTACACATCCTTTTTGGGTATAAATAGAGGTCTTTTGGGTTTACTTTTCACAACCATTCCTCACACATTTCATAGCTTTACANAACTGTATTGAGGCTCGTGGGACTCGAGTTCTCATGTTGTAACGGTTTGTTAAGCACCCGTAAGCTTAACGGAAGTAGTGTAGCTCGAAAGAGTCTCTCGGGAGGCTGGACTAGCCACACGTTGTGGTGAACCAGGGTAAAATCGGTGTGTTCTTTATTTACGCTTTTTTATTCCTCTCTTTACTTTATCCCTGCGATTTTTATTCTGAGAAAATTTAAAAACATTCTCGTGCCTCACTATTCACCCCCCCTCTAGTGAAGGGCACTCATTCTAACAGGAATCACCACCCCGAGAAATGTAGGCTCTTTGCTTCTTGAACCCATGCGTGTCCTTTTCGTTCTTGGCTTTTGGACATCTTGGCTTGATATGGCCAATCTCGCCACATCCATAGCACTTTGGGGGACCGTCGTGCTTCTTCCCTTTGCACTCAAATTCTTTCCTCATAAATTTGTGGAACTTTTGATAACAATCCTGAACTCATTATCCTCATCACTTGATTCTCCTTCCACTGGTTCTTTGATGGCTTTGAATGCTATCCCTTTTTTCCTTTGTTCATCCAAAGATGGGTTAAGTATAGTAGATTTGTAAGTTTTGAGATTATCTCTTAGTCCATCGATGGTGACATTAGAAATGTCGATTGACTCTTAAATGACATCGACATTTTAGCGCCATTCGGGAGTCAAGCTTCGCAAGATCTTCCTCACTAGATCCTTGTTGGAGTAGCTTTTCTTCAACGCATGAAGATCGTTGATGATCTTGGAGAAGCGATCGAACATATCATCGATCTTCTACCTTCCTTCATCTTGAACCTCTCATATTCTTGGGTATGAAAGTCTATTTTTGATTCACATACCTGATTCGTACCTTCGTACATTACCTCAAGCTTTTCCCACATCTCTTTGGTGGTTGAGCAGCAAGAGATCTTCATGTAGTCATCAGGATTTACGACACAATAGAGCATTTTTATGGCCTTTGAATAGTTTTCAACTTTTTTGATGTCTTCGGCTTTAAATTTGTCTTCAGTCTTTGGAACTGTGGTTTCTCCTACCTTCTTCATAGGTACCTTTTCACCATTCTTGATAACCAAGCACAATTGGAAGTTGGCAGAACGGATATAGATTCTAATCCGTTCCTTCCAATACGTGTAGTTGGTGTCATCAAAATATGGTGTCCTTGAGGTAGATTGTCCTTCACTAATACCCTTGTACAAATTTCTAGACGAAGAGCCCGTGAGATTTTTCCTCTCAAACGGTTAAGTCTGGAAGAGAGTTAGGCTCCGATACCAATTGTTAAATATGTTAGAATAAGTGACCAACGCTAGAGAGGGGGTGAATAGTGTTTGATCGTAGAAATCGCAGGAATAAAAAATTAAGAACGTGAAAGATAAAGAGCGTAGAAAGCGTAAAGGGAGCACACCAAGATTTACCCTGGTTCACCACAACTTGTGGCTAATCCAGCCTCCCGAGAGACTCTCTCGAGCTACACTACTTCCGTTAAGATTACGGGTGCTTAACAAACCGTTACAATCTGAGAACTCGAGTCCCACGAGCCTCAATACACTTGCTCGGAGATACCGCAGTCCAAGACTACAACCCGAAGGAAAATACCTTTCATTCGTACAACCAAGGGAAACAAGCTTCCCTAAACGTGTTTACAACACTAAGAGCACTCAAGAACAAGACTCTCTTTAAGAGTATATGTTGAGTAAACTATATACGCTCAAGAACAACTCAAACTTCACAAATTGGCTCTAGAAAGCTATGGAAAATAATGTTGTTTGGATGCAATGATAATATGAATAAAGTGAAGTGAATACTTGAGAAAAGCAGACCCAAACACCCCTTTTTATAGTGCCAAAGTAGGCTCCAACGGACCAATACATTAAAGGGGTGATTGGCTTGATTTATGGGATTGAATAAATTTGGGATCTGCAAGATATTGGCTTCCCATCGATGTTTGGACTCACCCATCATGGGTAAGCCAATTTCCCTTCAGTTTTGAAGCCAACGGTCACCTACCCATCAATGGGTACAAGCTTCCCATCGCTGGGTGGGAAGTTGACTTCCAAACAAGAAAAGAATCAGCCTTAAATGACTTCCAACGGTCATGCCTTCCCATCGATGGTTAAGCCTTCCCATCGCTGGGTTCCCATCGATGGGTAAAGCTTCCCATCGCTGGGTAAGGGCATTCTGCCTTGTGAAAATGTTGGACCAAGGCTTGAGCAGCGATGGGTAGAGCTTCCCATCGCTGTTTGGCATGGTTCTGGAATTCAATTGGGCTGAAGGCTGCTTACCCATCGATGGGTAATATCTCCCATCGCTGGGTAATATGATTCTGGAATCCCGGGATCACTTTCCCATGCATGGGTGAAATCTACCATCGTTGGGTAGATGGCTAGTCCAGAACCATGGCTTNAACCACTTCATTTAAGTAAAAACCACGGCTAGCCAAGTTTATGTCGTTTCGCATGGTTTTTATCAAATGACAAAAAACGAAAGGTGGTTTTTGAAGTGTTTTTGATGGAAAACTATTTAAATGTGCCCAGAAGTAAAAACCAATCATAAAAAGTTGAAAACCACTTGATTAGTTCGGACGCCAAAAACCAACGCCGAAAACCGAATGCCGAACGCCGGTTTCTGAAACCCGAACGCCGGATGGCTTGGTCTTTGGTTTGGGCGAACACCAAGTATTTTTAATGTTTTAAACATGTTTTAAAAACATTTTTATGATGTGAAATGCAATGAAAAGAATTTTAGGCTAAAGAGACAAGGTGTAAAGATTGGGTCGGTCTTGATCACAATTGTGACCGACTCAACGACACTAAGACTACGGTCTTCATTCTTGGTCTTCTTTTGGCCCTTGTTCTCTTTCTTCTCATATTTGGTTCTCTCCTTGTATATTAAATGACTTGTCTCGTTCACGGCGGTTTGGCATTATCAAAACCTGTCATAACAACGAACACGACTTTAGTGCGAATACGTGATAAACCCGTGTTTCAACAATTTCCCCCTTTTTGATAATGGCAAACAAGACGGGGTTATGCATAGGAGTATTGATTTGAGACTTAAAAAAATGTCCCCCCTTAATAAATGCAATTTAGAAATAGTTCCCCCTCAATCTATGCATAACCTTTATATCTTCCCCCTTTTAACATTAACAAAAAGAATTAAAAGTAAACTTTTATTCATTTAAAAGGGGAATGCAGAATACAACGGATAAAAATACAATCATATTTAATAAGGAGAAAATAAAGAAGATGTCATGGCGTCGGTGTTGGCCTTCTTCTTTGAAGCCTCGGTTTTGGTCCTTGACTTTCCTCTAGCCATTGTTGAAGCGTTTAGAAAGTGAGTAGAGGCTTAAAGTATGCAAGAGGAATGTGAGTTGTGTGTTAAAAATGATCAAGGATGGTTAATATTTATAGGAAAAGAGAATTTGGGCCCTTGGTGTTTAAAAATATGGCTGTTAGGCATTGAATGAGGTGCCCAACGGCTATGATTTTTGAAGTGCAATAGGCTTCCCAGCGATGGTAAGGTTCTCCCATCGATGGGAAGACAGGTACTGGAAAGGGAGGAAAAAAGTGAAGATAGCCTTCCCAGCGATGGTAAGGTTCTCCCATCCATGGGAAGACAACTACTGAAAATCCGTTAAAAAAAATTTTAAAAAAAAAGTGTCAAACACCCAGCGATGGGAAGAGGGCTGCTGGTTAGAAAATACTTCCTTCCCAGCGATGGGATAAACCACTCATCGCTGGTTCCCCCTGAGTTCCTCACTTTGATACATACCTGCAAAAAAAACAACACTTTGGTACCAAAGTATGTCTATGGGTCCTTGGGGGTTAGTTAACCTTTATTGCCTACACACACACCCAAAATTCGTTTCCTAACGCGCGCGCGCACACACGCACACAATTAAATGATTGTTTAGGAGTTACCTTGGCCAACTCATTGTCTCGTGGTTGGCGGGTTCCAGTCTACCTGAACGGAGTGCCGATATCTCGGTGTGGTTTGTGTTGGTTCCGGTAACGGAATGTGGACTTTCTTCTTTTCGTCAAAGTAGAAGAAATAATACAGTTTCTTTTGTGCATTATCCTGTGGAGATTGTTTATGATACGAATATCCTTTTCTAAAGGATTTCTTTTTGTTCGCACCAAAAATATTATGTGTTTCATTATAGGTGGAGTGCCTATGTCTGGTAAAACACACGAGAGCTATATGTCCTACCCTATTGCAATAATGGCAAACTACGTTTGGGTTGTGCATCCTCCTAGGTTGATAATAGTTGCTAGAGGGCCTAACCATATTCATCATATTTTGGGAAAATTTTGGTTTTTGAAAACTCTCTCTTCTAGGTGTTCTAGCGTTATTTTGTCTATTTGAAAAATTAATTTTATGCACAAATTCATTTTGATAGTTATGCACATTTTCATTCTTAAGCTTTTGTCTAGGTTGTCTAGTGTCCTTAGGTTGACTGGATTTTCTATTATCCTGATTTTTACTTTTCTTATGTTGAGCCTTAGGAGGTTGTCTAGGTGTTTTCTCAACGTTTTTATCCTTAGATTCATTTTTATCAAAACCTATTCCTTCTTTAGAAAAATGCATGGTGTCAAGGAGTAAATTAATATTTTTATGTGGAGTATTAAATTTCTTAACCGTACTCTCAAGTTTAGTGACTTGTTCCTTTAAAACTTTACAAGATTCACATTCTCTTGAGGAACTTTCTGGTTTTTCGGCGCTTCTTTTGCCATAAAATTTATTTTCTTGTTTCAACTTCTCATTATCTTTTTCCAACTTTTCAAAATCATTTTCAAGAGTGGAAAGGCGTTTCTTTAACGATTTGTTGAGTTTAGAAGCGCTAACAAATTCATCATAAAGTTCGTGAAGTGCTTCTTGCATTTCTTCAAAAGTGTAAGAGTCAGAAGAAATGGTACATACCTCTTGTGCATCGTCGGTTTGGTCTTCGTGTGCCATGAGACAGAGGTTGGCAGCTTCATCCTCATCTTGGTCGGTTGACTCGTCGCCGGAGTCTCCACCCCAAGAGATATACGCCCTTTGCCTTTTGAAGTGTCGAGCATTCCTTCCGCTTTTCGGGCATTTGTTCTTGATGTGCCCGGCTTCTCCACATCCATAGCACACAGGGCCATCCTCAACGTTTTCTTTCTTTCTTAGAAGTTTGCAGAACTTCTTCATGACAAGCTTGAGTTCATCATCGTCACTTGAATCATCCATTGTTGATTCTTTGACGGCTTTTAGTGCTATCCCTTTCCTTTGGTCATTCAAAGACGGATTAAGAATAGTCGATTCATAGGTTTTTAGATTACCTCTCAGGCCGTCGATGGTGACATTTGATGTGCCGATTGATTCATAGATGGCATCGGCCTTGGATCGCCATTCCGATGTCAAGCTCCGTAGGATCTTTCGCACAAGTTCCCTGTCAGTGTACGTCTTCTTTAATGCATGAAGATCGTTGACTATCTTGGAGAAACGGTCGAACATATCGTCAATCTTCTCGTGCTCCTTCATCCTGAACATCTCATACTCTTGGGTGAGGAAGTCGATCTTGGCTTCACGTACTTGGTCCGTTCCTTCGTACGTCACCTCGAGCTTATCCCACATCTCCTTGGCGATTGAGCAGCAGGAGATCTTGCGGTAGTCATCGGGATTGACCGCGCAGTAGATCATGTTAATCGCCTTTGCATAGTTTTCTACTTTCTTGATGTCTTCGGCATCAAATTCGTCTTCGGTCTTGGGGATCAACTTATCTCCGACTTTCTTCATTGGCACCTCTTCCCCGTTTTTGATAACCAACCATAATTGGAAGTTCATGGAACGAATATAGATTCTCATTCGTTCCTTCCAATATGTATAATTGGTTCCATCAAAAAGAGGTGGTCGTGTGGTTGATTGCCCTTCACCTATTCCTGCATACAAATTTCTAGAAGAAAAACCCATGATCGCTTTACTCTCAAATGGTTAAGTTTGGACGCGAGTTAGGATCTGATACCAATTGTTATAATAAGTGACCAACGCTAGAGGGGGGGTGAATAGCGTTTGATCGTAGAAATCGCAGGAATAAAAAATTAAGAACGTGAAAGATAAAGAGCGTAGAAAGCGTAAAGGGAGCACACCAAGATTTACCCTGGTTCACCACAACTTGTGGCTAATCCAGCCTCCCGAGAGACTCTCTCGAGCTACACTACTTCCGTTAAGCTTACAGGTGCTTAACAAACCGTTACAATCTGAGAACTCGAGTCCCACGAGCCTCAATACACTTGCTCGGAGATACCGCACTCCAAGACTTCAACCCGAAGGAAAATACCTTTCCTTCGTACAACCAAGAGAAACAAGCTTCCCTAAACGTGTTTACAACACTAAGAGCACTCAAGAACAAGACTCTCTTTAAGAGTAGATGTTGAGTAAACTATATACGCTCAGGAACAACTCAAAGTTCACAAATTGGCTCTAGAAAGCTATGGAAAATAATGTTGTTTTGATGCAATGATAATATGAATAAAGTGAAGTGAATACTTGAGAAAAGCAGACCCAAACACCCCTTTTTATAGTGCCAAAGTAGGCTCCAACGGACAAATACATTAAAGGAGTGATTGGCTTGATCTATGGAATTGAATAAATTTGGGATCTGCAGGATATTGGCTTCCCATCGATGTTTGGACTCACCCATCGCCGGTAAGCCAATTTCCCTTCAGTTTTGAAGCCAACGGTCACGTACCCATCGATGGGTACAAGCTTCCCATCGCTGGGTGGGAAGTTGACTTCCAAACAAGGAAAGAATCAGCCTTAAATGACTTCCAACGGTCATGCCTTCCCATCGATGGTTAAGCCTTCCCATCGCTGGGTTCCCATCGATGGGTAAAGCTTCCCATCGCTGGGTAAGTGCATTCTGCCTTGTGAAAATGTTGGACCAAGGCTTGAGCAGCGATGGGTAGAGCTTCCCATCGCTGTTTGGCATGGTTCTGGAATTCAATTGGGCTGAAGGCTGCTTACCCATCGATGGGTAATATCTCCCATCGCTGGGTAATATGATTCTGGAATCCCGGGATCACTTTCCCATGCATGGGTGAAATCTACCATCGTTGGGTAGATGGCTAGTCCAGAACCATGGCTTAGCCGACCGGCACTGAAACCCGACCGAAATATGCAAAGCTCTCCAAAGTAAAAACTAAGTGTTTAAAACACTTATTTAATGTATTTTGATGTCAAAATAAGCTTTGTATGTTGAAAACCATGTCGTTAAGGTAAAAACCACGGATGACCAAGTCAATGCCATACACGGGTGGTTTTTACCAAAAAACAAAACCGAAAGGTGGTTTTCATGATGTTTTGATTGGAGAACCATTTAAATGCATTCAAAAACAATTCCTACACAAAAAGACTTGAAAACCACTTCATTTAAGTAAAAACCACGGCTAGCCAAGTTTATGTCGTTTCGCATGGTTTTTATCAAATGACAAAAAACGAAAGGTGGTTTTTGAAGTGTTTTTGATGGAAAACTATTTAAATGTGCCCAGAAGTAAAAACCAATCATAAAAAGTTGAAAACCACTTGATTAGTTCGGACGCCAAAAACCAACGCCGAAAACCGAATGCCGAACGCCGGTTTCTGAAACCCAAACGCCGGATGGCTTGGTCTTTGGTTTGGGCGAACACCAAGTGTTTTTAATGTTTTAAACATGTTTTAAAAACATTTTTATGATGTGAAATGCAATTAAAAGAATTTTAGCCTACAGAGCCAAGGTGTAAAGATTGGGTCGGTCTTGATCACAATTGTGAGCGACCCAACGACACTAAGACTACGGTCTCCGTTCTTGGTCTTCTTTTGGCCCTTGTTCTCTTTCTTCTCATCTTTGGTTCTCGCCTTGTATATTCAATGACTTGTCTCGTTCACGGCGGTTTGGCTTTATCAAAACCTGTCATAACAACAAACACGGCTTTAGTACGAAAACGTGATAAACCTGTGTTTCAACAATATAATAGTCCCAATGCTAAAGGGGGGTGAATAGCATTTGAAACGAAAAGTTGCAGGAATTAAAAATTTAAGAGCAAAAGTAAAGGGTAAAGAGAAGACAGCCCGATTTTACCCTGGTTCACCACAATGTGTGGCTACGTCCAGCCTTTCGAGAGACTCTCTTGAGTTACACTATCAACGTTAAGCTTAACGGTGTTTAACAAACCCGTACAACTTGAAAGTTCGAGTTACACGAACCTCAACAAACCTTCAAAGGAAAAAACCCTTCCTTCAAACCAACAAGAGAATCACCTTCTCTTAACTAGTGTCTCAAACACAAATGCACTCAAGAGCAATACTCTCTTTTAGAGTGGATGTTGAGTAAACTAATAACGCTAAAAAACGCAACAACAACTTCACAAGAATGGCACTCAAAAGCTATGAAAAATATAGGAATGGAATGCAATGAAGAAATATGAGTTGTGAAGTAATTAGATTAGAAAAGCAGACCCAAACACCCAAATTTATAGTGAAAAATAGGGTCTAATGAGTGGGAGTTAATTAGGGGCGATTGACATAATTTATTGGATTTAATTTAAAATGGGATCTACTAAAAATAGGCCTAACATCCATGTTCAAGTCTTGAACATCGTTGTTGAGGCTTAAACTTTCAAGCTGGAAGCTTCAACAGTCACCTCAACATCGATGTTCAAATTGTGAACATCACTATTCAATTTGTTGACTTCTAAGCATGAAAAGTTTCAACCTCTAATATCTTCCAACGGTCAGGTGCCAACATCGATGTTCATAAGTGAACATCGTTGTTCAGGTTTAACATTCCAAATGAAGGTTTTGGTTTAATATCGATGTTGTTGGACCAACATCGCTGTTCAAAAACAATATGCCAAAGCTCATTTTTATTAGTTTGAGCTGAAATCGATGTAAAGACTCCTACATTGTTGTTAAAAAAACTTTTGGAATTTAAAGCTTGGCTCAATAGCGATGTTCATAGTCCAACATCATTGTTGGAGGACTTTGTGCCAGACCATGGTTTTCAGGTGCCAACACCAAACAACACTGTTGGTATGTCCAACATCGTTGTTGGGCTGGTTTGCCAGAAACATGGCTAGCCAGTCAACACCGAAAGCCGATGTCAAAAATTAAAGTTCTTCAATTTAAAAACCAAGTGTTGAAAAAACTTATTTAATGTATTTGACTAAGAAACCATGTGAAATATCTTAAAAACCACGTCATTAAGGTAAAAACCACGGCTAGCCAAGTTTATGCCGTTTTACATGTTTTTTACCAAAAGATAAAAAACGAAAGGTAGTTTTTGATGCGTTTTGGATGAAGAACTATTTGAATGAGTCCAGAAGAAGAAACCAATCATAAACAGTTAGAAACCACTTGGTTGGTTCGGATGCCAAAAACCAACGCCGATAACCGAATGTCGAACGCCGGACGACTTGATTTTTGGTTTTGGTGAACTCCAAGTGTTTTTGGCTTGTTAAAAACATATGAAAATGGTTTTAATGATTCATAAAAAGTGTTTAAATGAATTTAACCTAGGAGTTAATATTGCAAAGTTAATGGCGGTCTTGAACTCATGAAGACTGACTCAACTATATTCTAAGCCTTCGTTCTTTGTTCTTGGTTCTTGTTTTTCACTTGATCAATATGCCATGTTTCTTTGCCTTTAGTTTGTTCAACATCTTCTCCTATTTGCGGTGGTTTGGGATTATCAAAACCTGTCATAAAATGAACACGGCTTTAGAATGTAACATCCTCTTTGCACCCCTTTTAAACCACTAGATCCTCCCTGCTAGGTGAACTAAGCTCAATGCCCATCACAATCGCAAGGTTGCTTTGATATCATTCGTAACACCCCGAAAACTATCCTCCTCGTGTATGTCCGAGAATATCTGTTTGAATAAATTGGAAGCAAATAATGTAAACACTTATGAAATATGATTGAAAAATTATACTACCTATGTCGCCTTCATGAGTAGCTTGTAGCAAGTCTCATACTTCTTTGGCCGTTTTGCATGAACATACTCGTGCAAACTCATCGGGGCCGAGAGAGCAATGGAGAATATTAATTGCCTTTGCGTTCATGGATAGTTTCCTCTTGTCCTCCGAAGATAAACCTGCAAGGCTACCACAACTCGGCACAAATGGCCCGTGAAGTACATTTAACTATAAATCAAAATAAATGGATTGTATAAAATGTTCCATCCGCATTTTCCAATAAGAATAATTTTGGCCGTTGAAAAACGGAGGGCGGTGGATGCTTTGAGAATCCATTTGGGCCATAAATTTGAATTTTAAAAAACTTGGGAAAATAAAATTTTGAGATTAAAAATTCAAATTTTAAAAAGGACACAACAAGTAGATCTTTGTCGTAGATGCGGTTAAGCACTTTCAACTACGAAACTGCTCCGATACCAATAAGACGTTTGAAAATTTTTCGGAGTTTAACAAAAACGGTGTTGGCAAATGCGGAAGCAATATATAAAACGCAAAAATAAAAGCGTAAAGAAAATGCACACCGATTTTATACTGGTTCGGGAACTCCCTACTCCAGTACCTTAAGGCTCCTCCTCAAGGATTTTCAATTCACTAGAACGCCTTGACCGTCTCAACACGATCGTCACGACGGAACCAACTTTTGGCAAACAAACCTTTGCCAATAGGTTTACACTAGATCACCAATACTTCACGCCTTGAAGTATCCAACTAGTTTTGAGGAATTTCCAGCGGCTATCCCCAACCGTGCACCGAAGATTTGCAGGATTTCTTCAACCTAGAGATTTTGCAACGGCTATCTCCAACCGTCTTAACAAGGATTTCACGGATGTCCTTGACCGCTTCTAGAGATTTCACCACGGCTATCTCCAACCGTGTAATGAAGATTTTACAACGGATATCTTCGACCGATTACAAGAGATATAGAAGTTTGAATAATATAAATCAACACCACCTCAAGAATATGAAATACAAGGTTGGGTTAATGTGATGATTTCTATACACTCTAACAATTACAACTCTCTTATAGATAATATGAGTGTATATCTCTTTGGATCAAGCTCAATGTGTGTTCAAGAAAATATATTGAAGAAATGACTCTTTAATAGCCTAATAAAAATCAAAGATTTTTATGAACACAAGAAGAAAGAATTATGAGATTTGAGCAAAGCTTGATTTCATAAAAACATTGAAATGATTTGGGTATTTATAGGG